GGCAAACCACTCACGCAGCTCCTGAGGGGAGAGTGGCTCCCGGCGAGACGAAGCACCCCCAGGCACAGCACCCCCAGGCTCAGCACCCCCAGGCTCAGCACCCCTAGGCACAGCACCCCCAGGCTCGGCACCTCCAGTCTCAGCACCCCCAGGCACAGCACCCCCAGGCGCAGCACCCCCAGGCTCAGCACCCCCAGGCACAGCACCCCCAGGCACAGCACCCCCAGGCTCGGCACCTCCAGGCTCAGCACCCCCAGGCACAGCACCCCCAGACTCCGCACCCCCAGGCTCAGCTCCCGCAGCAGCACCAGAGTCACCAGTGACCTCGACAGGCTCGACCGCATCTACCTGGGACACACCTGAAGGGGCAGGACCCTGAGGGGGGAGGGGGACTACCGGGGGGGGACCTGGTACCAAGAAGAGCGGGGGTGGGGGGAGGGACGGAGTGCGGTAGGGGAAGAGGCGGTAGTAGGGTACCGACTCGTCGAACGTGACGTCCTGGGAGGACAGAACACGTCGAGAGGTGGGGTGGTAAAACTGCCACCCAGGGGCGTCGGGGGGGAACCCCAGGAAGACGCAGGGAGAAGCACGAGGGGACAGCTTGTCCGCAGACAGGTCGCGAACAAACGCCCGAGATCCCTAGACCCGGAACGCCGACGCATCGCCAACCTTCCCCGTCCACAGCAGGGCTGGGGAGGTCTCCGGGCGAGAGACCCTGGGGTGGAGGTTGATCTGGTGCGCAGCGTACCTGACCGCAAACGGCCACAGAAAATGGGGAGCAGCCGCATGCATCATGGACGTACGAGCGACGTCCATGACCATGCCAATGCGGCGCTCAGCAATCCCATTCTGCTGTGGTGAGTCCGGAAGCGTGAAGGTCTGACGGATGCCTCGCGCACGACAGTAGGCACTCAGGAGGCCAGAGGAGAACTCTCCGCCTCTGTCCGAGTGCAGACGCAAAACAGGGAAGTCAGAGCCAAAGCTCCTCCGAAGCTGGAGACGAGCTGCGCGGATCCAGTCGATCAACACCTCAGTGACCTCACCCTTGCTGCGCAAGGGGAAGACTGTGGTGTAACGCGAGTAGTCGTCAACCACCAGCAGGAAGTAGCGCTCCTGACCCTGTCCACGGACGCGGGCTGGGCCCCACACGTCCATGTGAAGCGTCTGCAACGGGGCCTCTGTCGGAGGAAACTGGGAGGAGTGAGGGGCAGCACGCTGGCGCCCCTCGACACAGGGGACACAGGTAGGGCCAGGGCCCAGAGGAAGGGGAGGGAGAGACCGGGGAAGACCAGACACAAGGACTCGCGAGGCCATGCCTCTGAGCCAAAGCAGAGAGGGGTGGCCGAGGCGGTGGTGCCAGAGGAGGGTCTCGTGAGACAGACGACGACACGAGCAGGGGGCAGACTCAGGACCAGACCTGGACGCTGCAGCAAACACCTGACCAGACAAAGGGACCCTACCAGACGTAGCACCTGGAGGAGAAGCAGTGGTCAGTGTGTACAGGCTCGACCCTGGCCGACGTGTAAACGTAGCCAGGTGGCGACCTGTATCCGCCTCCGTGCAGTGGGTCACCCGCTGACGAGCAGGGGTGAACTGGTGGACACCCGCATCCTGGAGGTCAGCACCACTCACCAAGTTCGTCGAGAACGAGGGGAGGTAGAGACCAGTCAGGGTGCCAGAGGGGGCCGCCGGACACGGGAGGACAGTGGAGAAGCGAGACAGGACAGGCCCCCCAGAGGGGTCCGCCAGGGACACCGCAACCGGCCGACTCAGCGGCGTGAGAGTGGTGCGGTCCCTAAAGAAGGAGCGAGACGCTCCAGAGTCAAGGGTGAAGGTGTGAGAGGCCGAAGCCGACACAGTACCTGAGAGGGCAGACTCACCAGCACCTGAGAGCACAGACGCACTGGCACCTAGAGCAGCAGCCTCACTAGTACCTGACGCGGCAGTACCAATGCCCGGGTTGGGCGGGAAACACCGGTAACAGTCATCCTCATCACTACCAGTCACAGCATACATAGCAGAGAGAATAGCATCAAAATCAAGATCATAAATAGCTACACCAGCCCTAGACAGCTCTCCCCAGCGAGGGATCTCAGCGGCCTCCGGAAACTGCTGACGCCAGGCGTCGGTCAGGCGGCCAAAGCAGCGGCGGGCTGTGTGGGCGCCTCCACACCTCTCCCCTGCACGGTCACCGGTGCGAAGAACGTAGGGGCAGGGACCAAGCGCACCACCACGCTGACGCTGCAAGTACCACTCACGGAGCTGCTGAGGGGCGGGGATGGTGCGAGAGCGCTGCTACTGCTGTGGCTGCTGCTGCGGTTGCTGCTGCTGCTGCTGCTGGCGCTGACCACCCCCAGAGCTGCTCCGCTGGGACGAGCCACTCCGACCCCCGCCTCCACCGCCACTCCCGCCTCCACCGCCACCCCCGTCTCCACCGCCACCTCCCCCACCAGGACCGTCGCTCCCACCGCTCCCACCGCCTCCTCCGCTACCACCTCCGCCGCCACCTCCGCCTCCACCGCCGCCACCACTACCTCCACTCCCGCCACCACCCCCACCGCCACCCCCACTCCCCCCGCCACCCCCACCGCCTCCTCCACCGCCCCCTCTAGCTCCACCCGCTCCCTTGCCCCCCTTGCCCTTGCCAGAGCGGCGTCTGCCGCTGGGGGCAGACGCCGCGCCGACCGACTCAAAACCAGTGAGGTCGGCCGCAGCGGCAGAGGCGACAGAGGGCAGCAGGGGGGAAGGACCACACCCCTCAAAGATGGGGGTGCGAGGGTCACCCCGAGAGGCCCCTACAGCGACAATACTCTTCTTTGCCGCTAGCAGGGACTCCTCAAGGAGATCGACAGTGAGAGTGGTGGGACAGACAGAGAGAAACTGGTCCCTAACGACACGAAGGGACTCAGGGAGACGGGTGACGAGAAAGTAGAGAGTGATGTACATGGGAGGAGGGTTCGCAGCGCGGAACTCAGCAGGAAGGGCAGCGCGGTAGCGGGTGTCACTAGCACGGAGGTGGGTAACGAGGTCAGCGACAGTGGGAAAGGAAGCGAGGTCAGGGAAGAGAAACGGTAGCATGAGGCGGCTAAGGGTAGCGGAGGAAGGGGAGGAGTAGCGTGCAACTACAGCGTCGTACAAGGCCTGAGCGGTCTTGCACTGACTAAAGTGGGCACGCTCAGAGGAAGGGAGGTGGCGACGCACAGCAAGACGTGCAGCAGCATCGCGGGTCGCCCACTTGGAGCGAACGGCAGAGTCAGCATCAGCAGGTGGGGCAGGGACAGCGCCAGAGACAAAGTCAAAGAGAGAGACCTCATCTATCGCATCACACAGTAAGTACAGCTGCAGGTCTTCAATCCAGACGGCAAAGTCAATGGCCCTCCCCTCAGCGTCAAAAGTAAGAACATTGGGGGTGGCCATGGCAGCAGCTGAAAGTCTCACCGGGCTGGGAGAGTCGGGTAGGTCAGCCGCAGAGGAACACAGCTCAGGAACAGCAGCACGGCTCCACAGGCGGCTCGGGCGGCTCGGGCGGCTCGGGCGGCTCGGGCGGCTCGGGCGGCTCGGGCGGCTCGGGCGGCTCGCGCGGCTCGGGTGGCGTAGGGGCTCACGGGCGGCGCGGGCTGTGGGGGCTGCTCTTGTGCAGCACGGCGGGCTGCAGCAGGGGCCGCGGGGAGGGCTGTAGCGGGGCCGACTGCAGGCCGACGGCGGGCTGTAGCGGGGCCGGGGCGGGCTGTAGCTGGGCCGGCGCCGGGCTGTAGCAGGGGCCGGTGGCGGGCTGTAGCGGGGCCGGCGGCGGGCTGTAGCGGGGCCGGCGGCGGGCTGTAGCTGGGCCGGGGGCGGGCTGTAGCTGGGCCGGCGGCGGGCTGTAGCTGGACCGGCGGCGGGCTGTAGCAGGGGCCGGTGGCGGGCTGTAGCGGGGCCGGCGGCAGGCTGTAGCTGGGCCGGCGGCGGGCTGTAGCTGGGCCGGGGGCGGGCTGTAGCTGGGCCGGCGGCAGCTGAAGCGGGGCCGGCGTAGGGCCGTGGCGGGGCCGACGAGGTCTGGGCGGGGCCGACAAGGGGCCGAAGTGGGGCCTAGGCGGGCCGGCGGGGCCTAAGCGGGACCAACGCGGGGCCGACGGGGCCTAAGCAGGGCCAACGCGGGGCCGACGGGGTCTAGGCGGGGCCAACGCGGGGCCAAAGCGGGGCCGAAGCGGGGCCGACGGGCCTAAGCGGGGCTACGCGGGGCCGACGTGGGGCCTAAGCGGGGCCGACGCGGGGCCGACGAGGTCTAGGCGGGGCCGACGCGGGGCCTAAGTGGGGCCGACGGGGGCTACGCGGGGCCGACGAGGGGCCTAGGCGGGGCCGACGAGAGGCCTAAGCGGGAGCACGACGGGGAGGGCGACACGGAGGGTCGCTAAAAAAAAATGCGCGCCTCGGGGCGCGCTTGGGTGGGCCCTAGGAACAGGCCCTAAGAAGGGACCTGCTCTGATTCCATGAGAAAGTGTGAACGAGAATGAGAATGACTATGAACGAAGTGAGTACAAATAGGAAACCCTAATTGGGTTGTACCCCCTATGGGATACCCCACTATAGCCTACAGAAACAAGTAAGCTATATGTTCTGACAAGCACATCTCCCCAGTGTTTCTCCAGCACTGTCCGCGGCTGCAGCAGCTGCATCTGGAGCGTGCCAACTGGCACCTCAGCAGCCTCCATCCCTCGTGGTTCAAAGCCTCAAGGGCCCTCACCATCCACCATTCCCACTGCACCGCCTCGGATTTCGAGTTTCTGGCCCAAATCACGCCGCAGCTACACGAACTCTCCCTCTACGTGTTGAACCAGGGACAGAGTCCATGCACCCTCAACCTTAGCTTCTCCGCTGCTCAATCCATCCACCTCGTGTTGGACCAGCACAGAGTGCACCTCGCGCGCTCCCTCCCTGCCTCTCTCAACTCCCTGTCTGTTTCAGCGCATTCTCTCGACCTGGACTGTCGCTGTGAAGCCCCGCTCTCCCTCGACTTCCTCATGCTGATTGGTCGCAAGCGCCTCGTGGTGGCATCGCTCCCCCTCGCATCGGCCAAAGACGTCTACCTGAATGCACCAAGCATGCAAGAGGAGTCAGTCAATCCTCTCACCAACCCTCCTCACTCCCTCAGCAACCCCTCTCACTCACCTCAGATTTCTCCGAATCAGCCTTCCATCTCCCGGGAACTTTACTCTCCATCCATCTCTGAATCCTCCTTGATCCGCGTGCTGCAATCAGTAGCCCCCACAGTGGAGGCACTGATGGTGCCACACTCGCTGCCGATAGAGTCAGTGGAGGGCGAGTGGAGGAGCTGCACCGCCTGGCAATCGGTGTGCGTGGGAGCAAGGCGGGCAGGGGGAGGTGCAAGACAGCAGTGGAGGCAGCAGAGGCTCGTGCGGGCGGCATCAGCCGTTTGTACCCGAGGAGAGGTGGCATGGGGGAAGGAGGAGACAGAGGCAGTGGCAGGGATGGCGGCGGTGGCAGTGGCAGTGGCGGTGACGTTGTTGACAGCAGTAGCAGCACCAGGAGGCGAAGCAGGAACCGTGAAGCGCCAAGGCCTCCGTGCATGATTGCTCCAGCGCTGCGGTCTCTCCTGTTTGCCACGCGCCGGTGCAACTCCGACACTCTCGTGTCGCTGCAAGAGGACTTCCCCTCGTTGGAGATCTACTGCGTTGTTGGCAGGTTGTTCTGCTGGAAGCCCATTGGCAGCGAGCGGCTCAGTCAGCCCATCGTGTGTGTGAGTGTGCATCGGGCTGCTTCAAATGCTCCGCGGTTTGAGACAACGGAAGGCTCGAGTGGCGAGATAGATGTGGGCGACTTTATGGATGGCCTTCTGTGCCTCTGAGCACTTGTAAGCAACAAAGGGATGGTTGGGTGAATTTCGGAAACACGCAAATTGTGTGTCTTCAGAGAAGCAGCAGAGAAAGCTATAGCAGTAGCCAGGACAGCTATAACGGCAGCAGGAACAGATTGGGTGGGTGGGTCCTTCGAATACCTTGAATATGGTACATACAGTATGTGACTGTATCAAATCTGTCAAATAGCTGATGAGGATGCTGGTGCTCTTGGTCTGCTTCTGCTGCTTTCATGTATTGCTTGCCTGTACTTCTATGCACGCAACCCCACCCAAGATGCTTTTCGCATAATCTTGAGGCAAAGTAATACGAAATAAGGACAATGTATGATACAAAAGCCACCAGATTTAAACCAATATTAATCTAACCATCATAGATTTATTTCTGAACATTGCTTGGCTATTAATTCCACATCTTCCTGCCAATAAATGTAACTAATGTAACATGTATGACATGGAGAATACACTCCGTTCATTGACAGCAATATCAACAATTCATTCGAATTGACTGCGAATCGAAGCCCAAACTCCTGGGAGCGTACAGCCTGATGATTGGCACGAAAAATACGAGGTTGTCTCCAAGCCTCTACCAAGCCGAAGGCTTACCCCCGTGCCTCCTTTGGCCCTCCGGCCCGACAAAGTCCAGTCGGACCATATGGTTGATATGGTCCGACTAGACTTCGTGAAGCTGCTGTTTTCAGTCCCAATCAAGCCTCTGCGATCGCGAAAACGTTCGCCTACAACTTGCAAGTTTTCACTAGAGTGGTGTCAGGTCTGGAAAACGATAGGCGAGCGGAAAACCTGTCACCAGCGTAACCCTCTCCTCTCACTGCACGAGTTTTCCCTCCACGGAAACCCTTCTCTGCCGGTTTTGTGCAGTCCAAGCAGCCTATCAGACATTACTATCAGAATTTTGTCAAGCTGAATCTGTTATTCAAACGCCAGCGTTTCTGTCGATTGCGTAGTTGACTGTTGCCGCTGATGGATAGCCATGGAGATGAGGTGATGGAAAGAAATCATGCTCTTACTGATACACTCCCGCCCTCTGATGCGGAGAAGCGCCACGAGGTGAGATGCCGCAGCGAGTGAGGCATGATGTCGCAAACTTGCGACAGTGAAGCATTGGACCATGGTTCCCAACGGATATTCTCATCACATTCCTCTCAGGAAGAAATAGAGATTTAGGCAAATCCTCACTTTCTATTGCTCACTTATCTTCTTTTTTCTTTTTCCCCACTGCCAGAGCGAGGATGTGGTTGATCTGCTGCCCGGCCCCATCTGGCACATCATTTTCCGGAAAATCAGGGTGAATCCTCGGGTGCATTGCAGCAGGAAGCAGGCGGCACCGCGAACGCCACAGCTCTTCCGTTTCCTGCCATCACGGAGCAGCATGCGGAGGCATTGCGGAGCTTCGGCGCCTCCTGGCCTCTGCTGTTCTACGCCATGGCCAGCAAGAGGCTCCTCCACCATGTCGCCTCCTTCGCCGTGAGTCATCATGCGCTGCTTCCCCCTTCCCACTCCCCCCTTCTCCCTTCCCTTTCCCCCCTTCCCTTCCCCCTTCCCCCTTCTCCCTTCCCTTTTCCCCCTTCCCCCGTTCCCCCTTCCCACTCCCCACTTCCCCACTTCCCCCTTCCACCATCCCCCTCTCCTCCACCACGCTGCCTCCTTCTCCGTGAGTCATCGTGCGCTGCTTCCCTCGCTCCATCGTACAACCTTACTCGTTTCACGGAATGGTAAACCCTGATATCTGGCCCGTGCAATCTGCTATCATAATTATTATGAGCTGCAGGGTCGTGCTTAAGGTTCTCTACCATCGCTGTGACCATCTATGTGGCCATCTATGTGGCCATCTATGTGACCATCTATGTGACCATCTATGTGACCATCTATGTGACCATCTATGTGGCCATCTATGTGACCATCTATGTGACCATCTATGTGGCCATCTATGTGACCATCTATGTGACCATCTATGTGACCATCTATGTGACCATCTATGTGACCATCTATGTGACCATCTATGTGACCATCTATGTGACCATCGCTGTGTGTGAGCAGGAGTTGGAGCCCATGACGCTCGTTTTCAACACAGGAATGCTCTCCTTCTTCCTGCGGCACGCAGCTCACACATCCCTTGATCTCCTTCTCAACAGCCCCCAAGATCTGGACAGCATCGGCCGTCTCATGCAGCCCTCTAAACGCTCCCTCACAAACCTGTGCATTGGGCTCAAGGAACCACCCGGGGGAATTGAGCCTATCATTAAGGAGATTCACCTGATGAATCCGGCATTCCTCAAGGAGTTTGAGAATCTGCAGCGGGTGAAGCTAGGTCGCGGGACCTGGCAACTAGGCGACCTGGATCCAGCAAAATTCAAGGCTTTAAGGAGCCTGAGCATCCACGATTTCAATTGCGACGGAAATGAGCTGTCCTTTCTTTCATATGTCGCACCGCAGCTGCATGAACTCGCTCTCGCCTCCTCCAGCCATGGCTCTGGCTCCACCACCCTCGATTTCAAGCTCACTGCTACTCGATCTATCACAGTCTGCTTTGAGAAACAAGCGCTCCTCCTCCGCTTCACCATGGCCCCCTCTTTAAAGTCCCTCTCGGCCACTGCAGCGTTTCTCAACGTGGATTGCACATGCGGCAGCCGCCCCTCTCTCGACTCGCTCTCTCTCATTGGCCGCTTGCAGCTTCTCGTAACTTCGCTCCCATTGGCTGCCGCCAAATCCGTCTACATGAACGGACCAACCGTTCGAGAAAATCGTTGGCGTGCGTTTCCCTGTTCCGATCTCGAATCTCAGCGCACCGTGACCCACCTGCTCAGCAGCATAGCGCCTACAGTGGAGTCGCTTATAGTGAGGTACGGCTGGCCTCTGGAGGGCGTGCGTGTGGAGTGGAGCCGACTGAGCCGCCTCGCTGTTGGTATGAATCGTTACAGCACTGGGGGGGTTAGTTACAAAGCTAAACCCGAGGACCTGGAAGATTCTAATTTCTGGAGGTGCTTTGGTGGGGAAGAAGAGAGCAGCAGCGGCAGCAGCAGGAGCGGCAGCAGCAGGAGCGGCAGCAGCAGCAGCAGCAGCAGCAGCCTGTTCATCAACGCTCCGAACCTGAAGTTTTTCTTTTATCATGCCAAAGAGTACGAGTGCAAACCTGAACTACTTCTGGTTGCTCTGCGCAGGCAGTTCCCTTCTCTAGCATTGTTCAGCAGTGCTGCTGATCAAGCACTTACGCTTTAAGTTATATGGTTCAGAGTTTAGGTAATGGTGAGACCATGGGATGGTGTGACCATGGGCAGGTGTGCACCTGTGTGGTGTGCACCTGTGTGGTGCATGCACAGTGGCTATGGGTGCCATCATGGGGCGTGGTGTGTGCACCTGTGTGGCGTGATGTGGTGCATGCACAGTGCCTATGGGTGCCATTCTGGGCCACCGCCCTCCCTGGTGCTGATGGGGCTGCCTGCCGTTTGTTGTCTGCTGCTCCACCAGCTAGGCACAGTGAAGCAGAGGTGGTGATGATGTTGGGTGGCTGAGCTAGTGCCGTTGGTGATGGGTCTGCCTGGTGTTAGTTGCCTGCTGCTGCCAGGGCACAGGGCTGCTGCTCCACCAGCTGGGCACAGTAAAGCAGAGGAGTTAATGGGGGCTGGCATTTATGCTTGTATTTGTGATTTGTACAAATGTTTTGTTTGTTTCTCTTCCCGTTTGTTTCAATATAAGTGTTCTCTTACGGTACTCAAGACGAGATCGTCGGCACATTCAATGCTTCTGTGTTCCAGCATATCTCACATGCCTATACAGTTCTGTGTAGAAAGGAAAGGAAGCAAGCACAGTTCAGATTCGTGCAAAAGGTCGACACTAGAAACTGCATTCGCAGCGAGTTGTCTTGTCAGCACAGCTATGCTGCTGCTGCTGGTGGTAATGGTGCTCTGCTGCTGATGGCCATGTTGTGCTGCTGCAGCAATGGAAGCTTCTAAATAAGCATGGAGAAGCAGAAAATCCAAGGGGAAACGCATAACCAACACGAGACGTGTAGGCAAGGGGAATGGGGTGGGGAGGGGGGTGGAGGGATGGGAGAGGGGGAGGTGAATCGGGTATGATCGCGTAAAAAATGCCGTATACTCCCGGACAAAACACCCCCCCATAATTGTACACCCCCGGGTAGCTTGTGCGGGGTGGGTGTTATGATAGACCTCGTTTCTACTATACCCCCCTTTTTGGCTGATTTTCTATAACACCCCCCTTTTCTTACGGATTCATTATTATAGTCGTTAACGAGTAGCTGCAATACGGAAGAATATCGTGTGAATTTCTCCCTCGATGAAATTTCGCGGTACATTCAAAGGCAATCTGCCGAGATTTGCCCCTCCCACTATTTCTCTGTCGCCACGTGCAGGTGAATCTTCCGTTGCAAGTGGCAAGAGAGGTGCCACATGCCATTTTCGTGGGGGCGATGAAGTTCGAGGCCGAAACTCACATTCGCGCCTCAGGCAGTGATGCTAAAACGACCAGCAAAACACCCACATTGACTAATGAAAAAAACACTAACACTAAAATATGCCATATGTAAAGACCCGGGTATTATGTATTTTTTTCCTATGAGGAGACCCCCCCCCATTTTTTCCCTGTATTTTTAGCTATACCCTAGGGTGTTATGTCCGGGAGAATACGGTGGCAGGAAGGCGGATATGTGCTAGGATAGTTGTGATCCCACCCATATCCACTCACTTTCGTATATAATATTACTTTGAGATGTCGTGTCATGAATAAACGGATGCTAGAGGTGGCAAGAGTAGTGAGTCCCCCAGAGTGTTTTGAGACGTCTCAAAACAAACTTACTTTGAGATGCCGTGTCATGAATATACGGATGCTAGAGGTGGCAAGAGTAGTAAGTCCCCCAGAGGCTCCCTTAGCATGTCAGCGTGCAAGCCTCATCTGTATCAACGAGTTTTGAGTCGACCCAGACCTTGTCCACACCAATAAACGAATGCTTAAGGTAGTAAGAGCGGTAAGTCTCCCAGTGGCTGCCTTTGTACTTGAGCATATAAGCCTCATCTTTATCAACATTGTACCCTTCCACCAGCTCCCTATTCACACCGTGCATCTTCTCCCTCACATTCATCGCCTGCCTCTCCCCAAAGCAGTTGCTTGACACGCCGCTCCTCCCCTTCCTCACATGCACCACAGGGGTCTCAGTTTCAGCCAACCCCTTCCCATGCTTCTCCCAGTAGAAAGAATGACTTGCGATGCAGTACAGGGCGAGGGAGGGGCATGATTCATGTAGGGCAACAAGAGTTTGCTGCTCGCAGGTGCGAGTGGGGAAGAAGATCGTTTTCAACTTTGGAGCCTTGATAACAGGGAGCTTTCCTGCTTGCTCCTCTTCCTCTTCCTCCTCCTGCTCCTCCTGCTGCCACTGCTGCTGCGGATGTCGGTGCTGCTGCAACCGCCTCTGCCTCTGGTTGCGCTCCTGACATTCCTCCACTGTTACCTCCTCCTCACCATCATCCCGCCGCCTCTCAAAATCCAGATCTCTCGCAAACCGCTCCTCACTTTCCACGACAACCCCAAGGCTGCGCAGGCAGCTCCACTCCGCACCCACCTGCTCTACAGGCACCCCGTACCTCACTATAAGCACCTCCACTGTTGGTGCTATAGCACCCAGCCATTCAACCCAGGAGAATTCAGAGGAGCTGCGGCGGTGCAAGCTTAGCCAGTCAGGGGGCGGAGCAGGGGTGTCCCAAGAGGAAGAATCTGTTCTTTGAGATGAGCAGGCATCATCGCGGGAGTGCCGGTCGATGGGAGGGCCGTTGAGGTAGGCCACTCGTGCAGATGCGAGGCGGAGGGAGGAGATGACGAGACGCTCCTGGCCATAGAGTGAGAGTTGGTCGAGATAGAGAGGAGCGGCGCTCTTGCAGGAGAGGACCAGCCGTTTGGCCACGGCAGAGAAGGCCTTGAGCGAGCGGGAGAGGGTGAGGAAGAGCGTGAGGCTGCTCTGTGCGAAGTAGAAGCGGAGGACGCGAGCTGATGAGAGGTCAAAACAGAATCGGTTAATGCCGCTGCCACGAGGGCCGACGGACGGGTTATCCGAATCCCAGCCCTCATAAAGCGTGAATTCCGTGAGCTGTGGCGTGAGCGTGGCGAGATACTGGACATCCACATGGCTCCAATCGATGTGCTTGAGAGTCAAACTGCGCAGCGCCTTGAGCTTCCCCGCCCACCCGTCCGAGAGAATCCAGTTGCCGCGCCCCAGCTTCAGCCGCTGCAGACGTGGGCAGCCGAAGTACTGCGTCCAGTGATTCTGCTCAATGAGATCCCTATGATACTGGTCCACGGCACGCCCATCGCCGTGTTCCACAGCACCCCCATCGCCCTGCTCCATGGCACGCCCATCGCCGTGTTCCCTGTCAAAGAGCTGGGAGTAGTCCACACAGCCGCGCAGCTTGAGGGTGAGCGAGGTGAGGGAGGCGAAGGCCCACTCGTCCTGGGACACGATGGTGTCGAGCTGCATGACGTGCATGAAGGTGAGGGTGAGGGACCTGAGGCCGCGCTGGCGCAGGAGGAAGGCGACGCTCCTCTCCCACTGCGGGTGTAGGTTGTTGTATACCAGGGAGATGGGGTGCTGGGCCTGCAGAGATGGATGGGAGAAGGAGTGCGGAGTTGGAAAGTTATCAAAATTCAGATCTGGAACGCGATTTAAAGAAGGCGATGCTCCTCTCCCACTGCGGGTGCAGGTTGTTGTAGACCAGAGAGATGGGGTGCTGGGCCTGCGGAGACGGATGGGTGGGAATGGAGGAGAGAATATGAAAGCTAGATGGATGGGAGATGTGGCGGTTACTGCAATGCCACGAGAAAAACACTCTCAGCAAGGGCTGTTGGAAGCACACCAAAAGCCAAGTGCAACGGAGGATCATACTCACGGAGAAGGAGAGGACGAGGTTGCGGACTCTCTTGCTGGCCATGGCGCAGCACAGCAGGGCCCACCCACTGCCATAGGTTTTCACGTTCTTCCGGTGCTGCCCGACTGCTGAAAATTCAGGGTCCACAAATTTCACGGGCATGTTTCTGCCCGCTGGGGGCTGCATTGTGGCGGTGAGATACCAGGGCGCCTTACGCCTACCGTCACGCGCCTTACGCCGCGCACGGGGGGGGAGTCGGGGCGGGAGGAGCCGGGCGGCAGCAGCAGGCAGCGGAACACCCGGTGCCAGATATACATGCTATATCCACTGGTAGCATGTCCAGGGGATTACGGGGGATGGCTGCTTGAAGGAGAGATGGGTGAGAAGAGAAAGGGACAGATGGAGGGGTGAAGGGGGAATGTGAGAAGCCAGCAGTGTGTTTAAGGCGGATTTGATGGATAAGACGGATGGGATGGGTGGGATGGGTGGGATGGGTGGGATGGGTGGGATGGGTGAGATGGGTGGGATGGGTGGGATGGGTGGGATGGGTGAGATGGGTGGGATGGGTGGGATGGGTGAGATGGGTGGGATGGGTGGGATGGGTGAGATGGGTGAGATGGAGCGAGCTTTATGAGGACGGGAGAACGGAGGAGAGAGAGTGGGTGACAAACTCAGGGACGAAATCTGGTAGATGTAAAGAACCTCGTTTCATGGAGTGCTCTTCTCAGGCACGTGGAGTGCTCTTCTCAGGCACGTGGAGTACTCCGCTCGAGCATTTCTCGGAGAGGCCAAAAAAATATCACCAAGACCAAAGAAGCTCGATGGTGCGAATGTCAACATGAGAGTGGCAAAGTGGAGACGCGATACTAGTATTACCTATCCAACGACTTAAATTTTTAAACCACTTGCCACTATGAGCGATAGAGAGGAGGGGAGAGAGGACGATGCAAAAAGTGGTGTAGGGTGAAAAGGAGGACTTGGAAGGAAATCGGCAGCAGGGACGAAAAGAAGCTAGGTTGGCGCAGAGCGTGTATTTTCGGAAGAAGGAATAAAATGCGGGAAGGGACATTATCAAAGTACGGACAGAGTAGCAGAAGGTGGGGGAGAGTACTAACTGGCAACGAATGCATCTGAGAGTTGTCTAAGCAGGAAGGTGAAGTCTAGTAAGTGGTTCTCGTTTGGAGCGCGAAGGCAATGCGGTGAAAGTGGGATGCGGCGTCGCTAAACAATAGTACTCCTTGCCTGGGTCGGCATTGCTCTTCTTCTCTCGTCGCTCACGCTCCCTCGGCTCGGCCGTGTCATCGCCAGTACACTGCACCGATGCCATGGCGATCGAACAATCATAGGCACCCAATCCGCCTGGTAGTAACTACTATTTTTTTACTCAAAAGTCGTGCATATGCACTCGTCATTAGACTAGGGCGTACTTTTCGCGACTCTGGCTGTCGAGGAGCTCTGGCTCATTGTCCTACACGTAGAAAAACTAAATTCCTCCAAACTATTTTTGCTCAGAGTTCGTTTGACGCGGTTTGATATGGTCGGCTACGTTTGGGAGCGGCTCTGTGCTTTCACTGCTCTAGACCATTGCACACCAGTCAAAAGAAAGCGGACGAGTATGACCAGCCCCGCTCACTACATCAAGGAGCCCAGCTGATGGATCTGGTGATAAGCGAAACAGCACAGTGCTTTGTTACCTGTTTCGCTAATCCTCGAAGTTATTGATTCCATTGACAATGTGAAGCCGCGTTTCAGCGACGGTGTTAGTCTGTCGTAAATCGGAGCCACTTTCAAACGGGTAAACGCGGTTTGCCTTACGGAACTAGCATTATGTGGAGGTACCTAGACCTTTCGAGTTTAGAGAGGTGTATGAAGCTTTGCAACTTGACGGAATTGAGAGTCCAGCGATGCGATGACGCGATTCATGGCTGCTATACAAAACGAAATGCCTCGCATGCATGGACTGTTCGAATTGTTGATTCGCTAAGATATCGGCAGGCACTGAGACGAACCAACAAGGTGGAAGGAAGGTCGTGTGCACTGCTAGCATGTCGACGCGTGTATAGCTGCTAGCGGATTGTATGACCGAAGCGTGAGACAGTTGCCGACGCCAATTTTAAAGAATTTTCCGAGGAGCCTCAAAGCTGCTCTGAAATTGTCTGTCCAATGAGACAGTTGTTGCTGTAGCTGGTCGGTCACCTGACGTCTGAGAACCCACCGCCAGCTATGGGAGCTAACGCAGCAGCATGCTTATCGCCGTTCGTTGTTCCGATGCATTCAGATTTGATAGAATCGACGACTCGTATCCGTTGCTCCAACCTAAATGAAATTCACTCAAAGGCACACCGCGGAACACCCACTATCAGGGACTACCCTCGTCGTCATTACGTCGTGCCGTGCGGACTCGGTCAGCCCGTCGCGCCGCTGTTTACTGGCACCGCCATGGCGTCGACAGGTGTACCTCGTGGTGCCCGAGCCTGGCCAGTGAGGCTGGGGTTCCAAGCTTGGGCGAGTACGGGACGAGCGGTGTAGTGATACGGCCGGGTGACTTCGAGTATCAGAGATTCAGGTCAGCGAATTGAATGCCATGCGGACTCTTCTTTGCTCGCTAATAGCCCCATAGCTCCTACGGGAGTCAATCATACTTATTCGCGAACGGCTCGGTCATTCAATGTTATTCTATGTTTCGCTTTCTTGTGTCCCTTTGTACTCGAACGGCCGATGAGTCGTTGCAACCTTGTGTAAACCTGCACCAACTTCGAATTCCGTAGTTGTCACTTCGCCTATGGCTACTAACCATGAGTGTCCAGTGCTGGAAGCGAGCATGGCTGCTTTCGATCTCTCACAGCCCGCAGCTGCTGAAGATTCTCACCAGGTGAGCGTGATGCCGCAGACGGTGCATCTGATTGTCTGGTTTCCCTGCGCATCATCCCATAGTGCTCTCCAACTCCCTCGCTTTTGCTTTCTCCCTCGCTTTTGCCTTCTCTCCCCACCCACCAGAGTCTAGACGTGGTTGATCTGCTGCCCGGCCCCATCTGGCACATCATCTTCCGCCACCTGCTGCTGCCACCCACTGATTCCGCTCAAGAGCAAAAGCAGGACGACTCTGATGAGGAATTGTCATCTCGGGGAGCAGCAGACAGCAGGTTGTGTGAGCTGATCGGTCTGCACCAACGGGCTGATCCGTTAGAAGGAGCAGGCAGCTGTTCATGGTTGAGCACCAGTCAACTTTCCGAGCGCGAGAAGCACAAGGAGTACGCACGACGCTTCGGCCCCTCCTGGCCTCTACTGCGCTGTGCCATGGCCAGCAAGAGGCTCCTCCACCATGTCATGTCCCTCTCCGTGAGTCATCATCATGTGCTTCCCCCTTTCCCCTTCCAGCCATCTGCTTCTTTACCACCGTGTCACCTCCTTGTCTGCGGGTCATGCACTGCTCCCCGCCTTATGCACTTCTGTCATGCCTGCACCATTCAGGCCCCTATGTGGGCGCATTGATGTCTACACCGTTCAGCAGGAATACATATTTTCGCCCAAAAGTCAATACTCTTTAAGCAACATATCTTAAAACAACGAGTCTTCACTTCTTTGTGTGTGCAGGATCTGGAGCCTTTCTCCCTCGTGTTAAAAAAAGATGAACCCCAGTGGAGGGGAGTGCTCTCGTGGTTCCTTCAACAGCCAGGTCACAAGTGCCTTGTCCTTGTTTTCAGCAGCCCAGAGAATCCTCATGGCTTGGGCCGACTTTTGGCATCCTCTGCTCAATCCCTCACAAGCTTGTGCGTGAGGGTCAATAGGTCTTTCCCATATCTAATGCAACCCCACCCGCGAACCGATTCCGCTTTTCTCGAGGGATTTGGGCAGCTGCAGCAGCTGAAGCTCGGTCTTGGAAACTGGGAACTAGGCAGTGTGAATGCAGCGTGGTTCAAGGCACTGAGGAGTCTTACCATCGAGCACTCAGACAGCAAGCGCTGTAATCTAGGATTTCTGTCTTCAATCACACCGCAGCTTCATGAGTTCTCTCTCTCCTCCTCCTCCTTCCGTCACTTCTGCAGCCTCAAGCTCGAGTTTCTTTCTGCCCGAGTTATCACAGTCAGATTTGAGGAGCAGGAGCTGGATGTTTGCTTCTCCCTCACGCCCTCCTTGAAGGCATTTTTGGTCTCAGCATTGGAGCTAAATGTCGAGTGCAACTCCGACAACCCACTTTCTCTCGACTCTCTTACCCTGATTGCTCGCAGACACCTTGTCGTGTCGTCGCTCCCACTAGCTTCTGCTAAGAATGTCTATCTGAACGGACCAACCAGCCTCGTGGAGCCCAGCGCGCCATTGGATGAGCTTTACAACGTCCCTTCCATCTCTCAACGCTCGCTGACCGCCTCTCAGCTTTCATTGACGCAGCTACTGAGCAGCATAGCGCCAACAGTGGAGACGCTTGTTGTGAGGCATGGCTCGCCTCTAGAGGAGCTGTGCGCGGAATGGAGCTGCCTGCGCTGCCTTGCCATTGGTGCAAACGGCACGGGCATCGGGTTCAAATTCATGATCACAGTGGAAGATGATGGGTCTCTTGATTACTGGATGGGGATCTTTAGCCCAGAAGGTGGGAGCCGCAGCAGCAGCAGCGGGCATGAAGGCATTCGCCCTCCCGTTATAAATGCTCCAAAGCTGGAATCCATTTTCTTTGCAACCCGACAGTGGCAGCCCGAGACGCTGGCTTCTCTGCGCAGCGATTTCCCGTCGCTGACATTCTACTGCATTGTTGACCGGTCGTTTTGGTGGGAGGGGAAGGGGAAGAACCGGGGTAATGAGTGTCAAACATTATATATGTTATGCTTGTGTAGGCTACAGTGGGTTAGCCTATAGGGGGTACACAATTCTAGGGTTTCCTACTTGTACTCATTTCACTGCTAGTTCATTCATTCCCTGTTCGCTTATTCTGACATGGTATAGAGCGGGTCCTTCTACGGACCGTTTTTTTTTTTTTGGGCCCACCGAAGCGCCCCCCGAGGCGCGATCTTTTTTTTAGCGACCCCTCGGGTCGCCATTTCCCCTGCGGCCCCGCCGCCTTCACTGACGCGGCCCCGCCGCCCTCTCTGTCGCGGCCCCGCCGCCTGCTCTCACGCGGCCCCGCCCCGGCTTCTACGCGGCCCCGCCCCGGCTTTCAAGCGGCCCCG